CCTTAGAGCGGAGCTTTGGACGGGCACGAGGGGCCGCGGCCGTGGCGCGGCGAGGGCGCGGCGCGCTCCCGCGAGATAGTGCGGCGACGCGTGCGGCGTTTTGGCCCCGCAATGGGCGTCGGGTGCCAATGTTTTGCGGGTGGTTTGATAAGTAGGGGGGGGTGCACCTCAGGAGCCCAGCCGTGGTGCTCAGTTTGCATCCAACGCCGCGGGCAAGCGCGGCGTGTATGTGTGTGTGGGGTGTGGGGGGTGGGTTGGGGGTGGGAAGGGGGAGGTGAGGGGGGCAGGCTGTCAAGGCCTCACATTTATCGGGGTGGAAGGATCTTTCGTACATGTTGTGCGCCTGCGGTCGTGAGCGGCGGGCGCGCCATGAGTGAGGTTGCTGCTGCTGCTGCTGCTGCTGCTGCTGCTGCTGCTGCCGCCGCTGCTGCTGCCGCTGCCAGGAAAGCTGCAGAACGACTGCTACTACCAGGACTGCTGCTGCAGAAAAGGCGCTGCACAAGGGTGGTTGGCACCGCTCGGAGGGCGCCGTGCGTGCCAGCAGGTGCCAGGGAGGAAGCCGCCGTTACGCCGCTGAGCCGAGCAAGCGGCCGCCCAGTTGATGGGCCCCTAGCTGTCTCGCAGGGCCCGTCGCGCCGCAGCCGGGGGGCGCACCTGGGGGCAGGCGTCGCCGTGGGGGCAGCCGAGGCGCGCGAGGGCACACATTTCGCAGCTGTAGTAGGCGCGGTCCAGGGGGCGGCGCGAACGCTCCTTGCGGTGCGCATAGGGGCAGTCGGCCCTGAGCGGGGCGGACGGGCGGACGCGCTGGTGTTGGGACGCCGAAAAATGAGACCAGCTCCGGGGAGGCGGGGTGCATCGATGGGCGTGTCAAGGGGTGGCGGAGTGTGCGGGAGGGGTGACCTTGGGGGCGCCGGGATCGATTGTTGGTCCGGTGTGATCTCGGGGCTTGAAAGTCGCCGTGCGTGTGCGCGCCGCAGCGGCCGGCTCGCCGCCGGATGGACCACGGCTGCCGGCGGCGCCGCGCAAGGGGGGGGGTGCTCGGGAGGGACGGATGCGCGCGCCTGGGCGGCTGCGAGCAGGCGTGCTGGGCGGGCCCAGCGCTCGCAGGCCCTGACGGCTCACCAGTTGTGGGCCACGCGGCCCGGGCACGGCAGCACCTGCGGGCGGGTGGCGGCGCAGGGGCCCGGCTTCGTTGGCGGCAGCGAGCAAGCGAGTGCCGCCGCCGACGGCGCGCCTCTCCCGGCGTCGGGGGCCGCGCGGGCGTCGCGCGTGCCTCGTCGGATGCACTGGCGCCGGCGCTGCTCGGAGGCGCGGCGCGCCCGCGAGCGCTTTTGTGCAGGGGAGGCCCGGCGCCACGTCAGCGCACCCGGTCTGTGGGGCCTGCCCCGGTCTGTGCGGCCCGCCGCTGCTTACCTTGAAGTATGCCATCAGATTGCCTTCGTCGCGCCAAAAAGGCACATCCAGCGCCGCTTCGCCGATCGGGGGCTCCCAACATCCCGCGCGGGAGGCAGCGGCGCCGGGCGAGGGCGCGGGAGCGTGGCACGTGCCAGCCTGAAGGGAGCGCAGCCTGAGCACGTCCGTAGGTTGGGTGCAAGGCGGGCGAGGGGACTCAGCCGCATTGTTGCCACAGCATGGGCGTCACGGGGGTGGGGGTGAGTGCCATGACACCCCGAGCGAACGACACGAGCCGAGCGCCGCCGACGGGACGGGCAGACCGAATGATCTGCATTTGAATGCCCGCCAGTACCTGTTGGCGTGTCATGGCGGAGGAAGACGCCCTCTCCATCTCGGCAGCTCGTGGTACCGTATCCTGGCCTGTTGGGAATCACAATTTTCCAAATGGCTACAGGTGAAAGGCGCCACGGTAAACCTGGCGATGTTTGGTGTTCCGGACCCGATGTTAGAACCGGCTCTCCGCTTGGAAAAGCAGCGCTTTCATCCTCCAAAGTGTGTTTTTTAGCAGATAGAGAAGAGATCTGCTGACTACCGTACCGTGGTCAGCAGCGCTCCTTGACGGGGTGAAGGTGTCGGCATGCGTTGGCTGTTGCTTCCTCCTACATGAGTGAGTACTGGATGCAGCTATTTCAACACGTCCTGCTCTACCGACACATCAACAACGGTGTGGTCAGATCACGCGCCTTGATCAGATCATGTGTATGCGACGATTAGTGCCGACTCGAAAAAGTGAACATTATTGATATCGCTTGATCCGTACGAACTCCC